GAATTGAGCACCCCCGCTCACTCGATTAAAGATGGGCCTCTACTAATCATGATATAATTTTTATGAACATTATGTGCTCTTATTTCGGTTATTAGGCTAGCTTTACTATGTGATGCGCACAAGTAAGTATAGACTAGTTTGCTCAATTTGGAGCGATTCAAGTTCATGTTTGTTTTTGCGAAAATGGTTTGAATTTGCCACCTTAAATGGGCTTAAAGTTTGCGAATTTGCCACTCAACAAAGTGGGCTTAAAAATTGTGAATTTGCCACTAGGCATAGTGGGCTTAAAATATACATTCATTGAATCGTTCTAATTTAAACAACAAGCCTTCATCCACAAGCATTCAAGTAGTTTAGCAAGTAAGCATTTAGCCTTATGACAAGCATGCTAGTCATGGCAATCACTCACACTTATGTAAGTATGCTAAAGCACTAAAAACTCACCTAGTACTCCAAGCCAAAAAGATATGAGTTAGAAAAATATGCATAATTCCTATCTATGCAAAATGACTAATACAACACATGCAAAGAATGCAACTAATAGGCTCGGCTACTAATATGGTATATGATTCAATTAAATAACATGCGGTTAAACATGTGTTCAAAGAATTATTGAAATGACAATGCGGTTTGAATGATGCGTTGAGCCTTGGTGCATGCAAAACAAGATGAATGTATGCAAGTATAAAGTATGTTAATTGAAACATGACCCTAATCTAACCATAAAAAATGATTAAATAAAAGGGAGAAAGAAGTGGGGTTGGAAGACATGCACGTTATTACATTTTGCTCTCACGAAGGAGAGTCCGAGTGAATAAAGCAAAACTAACTAGCAACTAATTAGGACTAAGCTAATTAAGCTAACTATTACAAACCAAGTGAAATAAATAGCTAAACTAATTAACTAATATTACAACACTTTTAATTTAACTAACTAGTAAGCTTACTAATCAAGTTACAACACAAATATAAGCAAACTAAGTAATTAAAGTATATAACTACACTGCCACTACTCTGCCTCGAGAAATGGAAGATGCACATGCTCGGATACCACCTGAAAAAACCTCCGTTTTGTTCTCGAAAGCCTCTGTTTGCAGAGTTGAATACTTCCAGGACCATTTTGCTCCACCTTACCAACATTTTGCTGAAATTTGCATCAGTGGCCAATCGGCCACTAGTAAAGACTACCGGCTATTAAAGTGGCCTGCCGACCATCTATGGTGCTCTGCTGGCCATTGATGGTGGCATGCTGGCCACTGATGCATTGGTTCAACTTGCTGCACCAGAGAACAAACAGAGCAAAAAGAGAGTATTCCCACAAATTGTTTGCACAACTCACCCCTCCTTTTCATGAACAAATCCAAAGAGTTGTGAATTTAAGCCACAAATCACTAACTCAAGCAATTTCATTGCATAATGGCTTATGATTCAAGAGTTGCAAATTCAATAAATGCAAAATGAGACACAAACCTCCTCCCTTTCATGAAAAATCAAGAGAAGAAGTTGACCTTGGAGAATTGGATCATTTAATCACTAACAAGTATGAAATGATCCAAGTTCCATGTGTTCAATTAACGTCCGATTGAACACATCAAAAACACAACCAAATTCTTATCTTCGCTCACTTTTAGTTCCAAGTTTTAATTACTCATTTTAACTTTACCAATCATTCCTTAATCCAATTAAGTCCAAACGATGAATTAAAGTCCTCTAAAGAGAAGAAAGAATCAAACAAGGGGTAGTTTAAGGCGTAAGAGAAGTTCCATACCGTTGGTAATGAACCCTCAAAAGAGGATTAAACCATTAAGCATGGACCTCAATCTTAAGCTTAAAGAATCCCAAGTTTGAAACAACCCTCAAAGCAAATTTAAAAGTCAAGAAATAAGGGAAGTTGCAGAGCTTTAGGTGTTGAAATAAAGTGCAAAACAACACCAAAACATGCAATCAACTCAAACATGGGGTGTCTAATGGCCTAAAACACTGAGCTTGTGAGGATCTTTATACTACAACCATGCAAAACAAGGCGTAACTGACCCAAACAGACCAAAAGAGAGCTAAAGTAGTCTAAAACAAAGGTAAAAACATGCTAGAATATAGCTACAAAAAGTTAGAAAATCATGCTAACATATAGAACTAACTAAACTAGCAAACAAGATACAAGGAGGGGAGGCTAACCCCTCCAATTTTGGACTTCAAAATATGTTTTTTGCCACTGAAAATACTCTAAAATTTAGTGGTTAAAAGTCCAAAAAAAATTGGTTTGAAAGTGGAAAACAAAAGTGCAAAAGCCCTTCAAACAAGAAAGAAAGAAGGGTAAAGCACCCCCTAACTTAAAATGGTCTCACACCATCACTTTTAGTTCACCAAAACAAGTTTTTTTCACAGTTCAACAGCAGCCCAAAAACAGTGGGAAAATATAGCAAAATGAGTATGTAAAACAAAGTATACAAGACAAATGCTATACCTCTTGAAGGGAAGAGTAATTCTAGGCAACAAACCAAACAAATGCCACCTTCTAGAGCTCAAACCAAGCCCAAGAACACCTCTACTCAGAGATTAGGGGATTTGGTTAAGGATGTATAGGCAAAAGTGTGGGAATTGTAGACAAATGTGTAGGAAATTTGTAGAGAGAGAGAGAGAATTGTAGAGAGAGAGGAAAATTTTGAGTCTAAAATTTTTTAACCTCAAAACATGAGAAATGGGGTCCCTATATATAGAAAACATGAATTCTATACAAGAAGATCCAACCCTCCACGTGTGGACAGATGCAAGCATCTGTGCAAATAACTGGCACAACTGGCATAAAATATTTACAGAAAACACTGGTGGTCGGTCAGTCATCAATGATGGCCGGCAAGGCAACATTGATGGCCGACAAGGCACATCAATGGCCGGCAGACAAGAAGTGATGGCCGGCAACCTCCAAGGATAGCCGGTAGGCCACTAGAGATTGCAGGACGGAAAGACCAAGGCATGGTCAAAAAATGAGACAAAATGGATGCAGGGTTTGAAAGGCTCAAAGCTGTGGCATTCCGCTGAGGACTTCGAGCGCTTGGCGAGCAAACAGACTCATCATCAGATGTACCTACAAAAACATCCAAGTCTTGAAGGGCCGTCAAAAATGGGATGTCTACAACTAGTTGATAAAATATTCATAATTAAGTAGATCTGTTTCCTTTGGGTATTCATTCCAATATAAACTATGAATACCAATCAACTATCCTATTCCAATTCAATAATTACTTAGAAGTGGTGCATCTTTGGGCCAATCTAATATCTTTGTAATTAAAGAATTATGATTTGCAAAGTCATTATTTTTTAATACTTGGGAAGGGTATTAAATTTCAATTTTTTGATTTGATATTTATGTGTCATTCCGATTGAGTAACTTTGGCAACTACCAATTGTATCATAATTTAGATTTCAAATCAAAATAAAAATTTTACATAAACATTTTTGAATAAATAATAATTTATTCACAATTATTCATCGTCATAATCATAATGCATATTACTAAATCATAAGAATAATATTAACACAATTCGTATTCTATGTCACATAAGAATATATACTTTTATACCTCATCAAACCACCTATAAAAATCAAGTTTATACATAATGGTGGTAATAACATCGTATTGAAAAAAAAAAAAAAAATTAGAGGTTACAGTTAGATCCATAAATAGCAATATGCTTGGTACTATAAATATCACAATAAAATTTTAATGTGTTTTCTCATATTAAAATTTAATAATACTTTAATGTGCCTCATAATAAAATTTGATAATATAAAACTCGGTAAAACATGAATAATAATGATTCATTATGTAATACAAATATCTTTAAGTATTACTAAATCAAATAAAACAATGGTCATTATCCACTAAACTTTTCCTCATAATAAAGATAATTAAATCATTCATAATATTCAATTATCAAAATATTAATACATTCTATTTATCATCAAATAGTTAGTACTCATTAAATAAATATTATTTATGTAATACGCAATCCAATCTAAAGTAGAAACATAAAAGTTACCTATTAAATTCCATATCATGTTCAACAAATTAAAAATTTTGAATCAAGACAATCATAGTTGTAATCAAAATTAATTGATATTTACTTAATCGGAAAATCATAATGTTCTAAACCATGAGCTCTGATACCACATGTAAATAATTTTATGATGTTATGCATATAACAACCTTCATAATTCAAAATCGTGAACTATCATGATTTTCACAAATAATAACATAATGCAATGTTATGCGAAACCTTCGAGTGACCCAAAATTAATTGAACATATGCCTAATAATAATATTAGTGAAAAAGGGTTTCTCTCTCTTGACTCTCTTTAAAATACATTAGATTCAAAATTAATTTGATGGGTAATTTGAATGTCTTTTTATAGATAGAGAGGGGACCAGTTTCTTTATTCAACAATGATTCTACTATCTCATCAAGGTAAGATACTTGAAAAATACTCTTCTTTATTTACAAATTATTGTAGCAAAAAATATGAAATAATAATCTTGCCAAATCTCTAATTCATATTACCATATCACGTGGGTCAATATAATATAATGACTAAATAATTAATTTAGTCTTGCAATTTTAGCCCGAAAATCTCAAATCTCGACTTCCCAAACTAGCTCAATTCCAGTTCTTAACCAGGACTTTGACATGCCTTCACCAAAGAGTAACCTGGATGAAGTTTTTTTATTTTTTTATTTTTTTTAATTGGATGTCGGAACCAATCTGGATGAAACTTTGATGCTTCTATTTGGACCGTTCTAAGCAAATATGGTAATCAAAATCCAGAACTCAAGTAACTTACGCTTATGCATCATTTCTCACTCATCCTTTGCTTTGCCATGAGGAGAGAGAAGATGAATTAAGAAAGGAAACCTACATCACCTAAGCAACAATTTATTTTGAAGACAAACTAAGAATCTTTGTATAATAAAACTCCACATTCCATATACCTTTCTCTCCCAATTCATAAAACCAAACACATATAAAAGCTTCCATTGTGTATCATTGTGTATTTCTCTCTTTGCTACCATAAACCAATCACCAAACCTCATTCCAACCCAAACTTCCAAACCAAGAACCCATGTCCCCGATTCGTCGCCCTCGTGTCGTAGTCAATGGAGTTCAGAGAATGAGAACCTACCATTACTATTGGTGCCACCAATGCCGACGAACGGTCAGGATTATTGCTTCTACAAACCCCTACCAAGTTTCGTGTCCTCGTTGCCTGGGCCCACTCCGCCAGGAGCTCGATGTCTCGAGGCCTCAGCTCCTGGCAGATGTTACCAGGCCAGAACTCGAACCATCCCCGGCTGCAAGCTTACTGGGCACCTTGGCTCAAATTCTCAACCAACCAACAATGCTGCAAATTACTAACCCTGATGGGAGAATCCAAAGGGACCGAGAAAATGAAAATGGTGATGGTGGTGGCCAAGCTTGGATCATTCTCCAATTTCTCAACCCTACTGATCATTCTTTACCAAGACTTGGCTCCCCAGATGAAACTGTTGCTCCTCAGGCCACTACTAATAATCCATGGGAGGTCTCTAATGGTGATAGATTTGAAGAGTTGGTGCCGCCAGGGCCGACTCGAGGTAATTTGAGTCATAAAGTGACAACTTTAAATTAAAATTAAAATTAAAATTATTATTTTTAATTTATTTTTTTTATTTTCTTTTTTATCAAACAAAAATAGTGAAACTATAGATGCGAAGAATCCTAAATTTAAAAATAAGAAACCTTATAAAAAGTATAATTTTCAAAAAAAGAAATTGAACATTATTGATAAAAAATTAATTAATTAATGAAGTGTGAGACACGGATTTTTTTTAAAATAAAAAAAAAATAACAAATTTGAGTTAAGCCCAAATTTTGATCATAGAGGAATATTATAAACATGGCAAAATAGACAACAATCAATTAGCTTAAGTGAAGGAATTATGTCAAAATACACCATGCAACTTTGAGTCTTGTTTAAAATGTCATTTTTAAGAAATTGAACATTATTAATAAAAAATTAATTAATTAATGAAGTGTGAGACACGGATTTTTTTTAAAATAAAAAAATAACAAATTTGAGTTAAGCCCAAATTTTGATCATAGAGGAATATTATAAACATGGCAAAATAGACAACAATCAATTAGCTTAAGTGAAGGAATTATGTCAAAATACACCATGCAACTTTGAGTCTTGTTTAAAATGTCATTTTTAATGAGACAATCAAATTTGAAGAGATGTTGAGCTAGTTCAAAAATCACGTTTCTACATCCAATTGTTCAATAAAATTTTCATGAATTTTTTCTACATCAGGCAAATTTATTAATTTTTAATATATAATTCAAATGATCATGGTCTAGTAATCTTAACAGCTTTGTTGTTTGTATGGTTTGACAGGGCCTCCTCCAGCACCCATTTCAGCCATTGAATCTTTACCTAGTGTGAAACTCACACCGGCTCATTTAGCAGACGAGTCGCATTGTCCGGTTTGCAGGGAAGAGTTTGAGGTTGGTGGAGAAGTAAGAGTGATGCCCTGCAAACACGTCTACCATTCGGATTGCATTGTTCCGTGGCTTCGCCTTCACAATTCATGCCCAGTTTGTAGGTGCGAGTTACAAGTTGCTGCTGCTTCAGCTTCCTCTAACAATGGTGGTGTTCAATATGATGATAATGGTGCTGAGGCTTTTCAAGAGGTCAGGAACAGATTGAATGGGTGGTGGACTCAGTTGTTCTCTTTGTGGCCTATTCGTCGACTGTCAAATTGGGTGTTTGATGACCTTAATTTACAAGAGGATGGAGGTGAGATTTTATTTTGTTTTTGTTCATCACTGAGATTTCACATTTTTATGAAAGACATCAGGATTGCATTCTACATTGACTTATATGAATTGTGTAGATGACAACTTCTTTTATACAAAACATTCACTTGCTATATAGCACTATGCCACATAGAGAGCATTTTGCTTTTGTTTGCTGCAAAATGCCATGTCATGCAAGTCTAAAATAAAAAAATGTGAATGAAATATAAGGTAATTTGTTTCTGTATGTCTATTTACATTTTCAAATCCCTACCCAAATCTATGATCTAAAACAACATGTGTTTAAGTCATGAATTTGGGTAAATATTTAAAAAGGAAAAGTGAATGAAGAAAATGTGAATAAAATATATAATAATTTATTTTTCTTTCTTTCTATTTTCCTTTTGCTTTTTAAATTTTTATCTAAATTCGTGATCCAAATAGTTGCAACCATTGTTTAACAAATTAACCTGTAAGTATTTTTGGCAGGTACCCCCTGGTGGAGCTCTTGGCTCATTCTGTAGGCCAGTAGTGCCAACTCTTCTTGGCTCATTCTGTAGGCCAGTAGTGCCAACTCTTCTTGGCTCATTCTAAAGTGGGTGATTACAATATTTTAGCTAGCTATAGATTTGTGTTTGAGTTTCTTTGGATCAGGCAGGTAAGTATTTCTTATGACTAATTTCAAGAGGTAACACTAATTTTAAAAGGCTAGCAGGTACATTTTATATGGCACTAAAAGTGCTGCACTTAACCTTTGTTTGTATGACGATGGGTTTTTACTTTTTCCTAATTGTTCTGTTCTGTTCTGTTCTGTTCTCTTTTGCAGCTGATGAACACAACTTGTGCAATGGTTTTTGTTTTGCTTTTCCACAAGTAATCTAGGAAAATAACAGAGTGGTTAAAAAAGTTGGCTTTGGCTTCACAAGCTCACCTTTCTGAATTGTTCGAGATCTTTGGCAAAGCTAGTAACAGAGTCAGGATCGTATTTATAGTTCCCTCATTAAATAAATAAATAACCACTAATGTACCTAAAATAAAACAAACAAAATTCAGTAAAAAAATATATGAGAATTCTCTCATTTTCTCTATTTATTTATTTTTTTAATTTCTCATCAAATCTTTTAATCAAAATAAAATTCGATTATTTTCTCATAAAATCTCTTGATCCAAACCGGGTTAGTTGAAGTTGGAGTTAATTCTTCCTCTAAATTCGAAATTTTATGATTCTTTTCACAAAATTTTAAAATAAATTAACTGTGTAGTAATAAGAGTATGTAGTTGAAAATAAATAACCACAAACCACCCAATTAAGAAAAGAAAAGAAAAAGAAAAAGAAAAACAGGGCTACTAACGAGTTCTGGCCTTTGAAAACTCCCCACACTTTCTCTCTCACTGTGCTGCTGCTGTGGAGAGAGGGAGAGGGAGAGAGAGAGAGAGAGATGATGGGTTTTGTACCATCCAGGTTACCAATATCCAGAGTGGGTCCCACACCCGCCCACCTCATCACCACCGCCGCCTCCCTCCGCCTCGGCCACTTCGTCCACCATCGCCTCATCACCACCCACCGTCTTCATCTCGTTTTGCTCAAGGTATTTCTGCCTCTCTCTCTCTCTCTAAACCCATCTTGTATATGATGAATACAGTGTGGAGTATAACTAGATTCTTCTATTAGAATGGGTTCTGATGATTCTCACAGCCTCTTTATAGTTGTATTATTACATGCCTGTACTGTTTTGGGATTTACCCATTTTAATTTCAGCTAAATGTAGTTGAATACGCTTGATTTTGATCAAATTGGGTTGTTTTCATTATTGCTATTCTGTATGCACATAAAAATTTAGGTTAAGTAAATAGATTATAGTTCAATTTGTTGGATGGTTTTTAGCCATGGTCTCAAATTAGCTTATACAATGATATATGTTGTGTTTGGATTTTGAATTTGTGAAGGGAAAGGGAAAGGGCAAAGTGAATGGAGTAAGTTAATTTTTTTATTTTTCACTTCTCATACATGTCCTTCATGATTCTCTTTTCAGATCATTCTCTTGTCTTAATCTTGGAAGCAAATACATGTCCTTTTTTCTTTTTTTTTAAATTATTTGAACCACTTAAGGGCTGTTTGTGTTTGGGATATTAAACTATGACTACTTTGAGACTCTTATCCATCTTTAACTATGAACTTCTAGATTATAGATTTTGCGACCACAAGATCTTCCTTCCTTCCAAAATGGCGCCTATTTTTAATAATTTAAAACCACCATTATACCAGTTTGCCCCAAACTGAAAAACAGAAAAAGAAGGATAATTAACATTATTCAGAAGTTGCTTTGCTTGGTCTAATTTGGTGGCACTGGGAATGAATTTAAGGATTTTCAAGGATTTCCAACTATTGTGGAGTTCTCATTAGTCATTATTACATATAATAGGCATTCTTTATTGCCAAAAGATAAGATACACAGCTTGTTATTATAAACATAATGAGTACCAAGACAAACCAAATTTGCTTTTGTGAGGATGAATCAACATGTGTAAAGCTTGTAGATTAAAGATCTTTATTCTAATTTTATACACCTATCTGTATCCTAATTTTTTAAATTTTGTGCCATGTCTGTAGTTGTGTCTGTCCTTCTCAGTTTATAATAGAAGTGAGATATATATGGTTTCAGTCATGGGAGCAAGAGTTGGTGTAAAATATGTAAAAATAGATGTATTATTGATTGATTAATTGATGTGTTACAAGATTGATATATTCTGTATATTACAACTCCTATATATAGAGGAGAAGATGGTAGTGGAGTGTGTGATAGTGGAGGTGGTAGGTGTGGAGAAAAATAGTGGAGGTAGTAGGTGAGTGGTAAATTCTAACACAGAATGTAATAAATGTGTGTTCACCATTAAGTTGACGATCTTCCTTTATGGTCATCTTGATTTGGTAATGATGCCCAAAGCACCTTATCAGGAATCTTAAGAGATTTATAGATTGGCATTTCTCGGATGTTAGAAATTTCTAGCTGAAGCTATTTGTTTCAAGTTTAGCAGCACTTGTGTCTCTTTGTATGAATAAAAATTTCAGTTCCAATATTTAAACTTCATCCCTTGTGCAGTGGTTAAAAATATAGCGCAAAGAGAAAAAGGGGGAACAGAAACGTATACAAATAAATTATCATACTTGCATCTGAATTTAAAAGAGAATGCCATAGGAACAGTGAAGAGAAATGTGTATGTAAGGATAAAAGGAAAAATCTATAAGTCGTGTTAATAACCCTACAGCTGAACTGATATAGGTCATTATCTCATCATGTGATACAAACTATACAGGGACAAAAAGAAAGTGACCAAGTTCATAGAAAAAGTAAAAGGCATTGGTTTCATTAGCATTATTTACTATTTTTTTTTTAAAAAAAGAGCCAAGTTGACACAGTTGTGGCAACTTTATTCATTCCTAATTAGTTTTTGATAGTTTGAATATAGAAGTGGCATTCATTGCAGCTTTTCTTGTTGACAGAGCGTCTCTTATCTTGGTCATGTGCCATGTTTAAAGGATGCATGGCATGAAAGCTCCATCAGACTGAAAGGGATTAATTTTCTTGATTGGTCAAAAGATGCTGCTACGTCTGCATGCTCATCTTGCAGGTGTTTCTTAAGTGGAGAAGGAAGCAGGAACAACTCTGGAAATTTAGGGAGGTCAGACTTGGAGACATCTAAAAGATTTTCATTTAGTGGCAGGGGATGGACCAACATCCTCCTTATGATTAACGTCTTGTGAGTATCACCTTTTTTCAAACAAGGACATCACAATGTCTCCTACACGTCTGTTTATTTATATTTTCCTTCTTATCGGGCTCATGTCCTATTTGCCAGCTTTCTAAGACTGTGTTTGGATCATGGATTTAGGTAACGATTTGTGAAGGGAAAAGAAAAGGGGATGGAAATGTGAATGGAAATTAGTGTAGATTTCATTCACATTTCTCTCTCTATCTTTATTGGTGAAAGAGGCTTTTATCCTCTGATTTTTTTAAATTCTTTTTTATTTTTTGGGTATAGGGTCTATATTGCACAAATTTCAACACAAGGGAAGCTGCTTGTATGGGGTGCTAAGGTTAGACTGTCACTCTGAGGGAAGAAAAAAAATTGTATACCACCTTTCATATCAGAAAACTCATTTTTCCGGGTTTATCTCTAATTGTTTTATATTAAAAAAAAAAAAATTGCAGATTAATAGTCTTATTGACCAAGGACAATTGTGGAGGCTTGCCACGTCTTCCGTATTGCACTCAAATATTGGTCACCTCATGGTTTATTTTGAATCACGCTACTTGATATTCTCATGATCTGGTTGTTTTATAGATTGTTGGTTTAAATGAATTTCATGTTTTCAGATTAATTGTTATTCTTTGAACTCTGTTGGTCCTACTGTGGAGACCATTAGTGGTCCTAGAAGATTTCTTGCAGTTTATATCACCTCTGCAATTGCAAGTAACGGCTCCTAATCCCACTATAACAGACAATGAATTGCTTATTTTCGAAGAAACAACCCCCAATCCACTATAATTCTGATTTGAGATTTTCAAGAAATCAGGTTCGGCAATGAGTTATTGGCTCTGCAAATCACCTTCTGTTGGTGCATCTGGAGCAGTTTTTGGATTAGTAAGTCTTTTCAAACTCTATAGTCACAAGTTAGCTTAGACACATTTACTTCACATATTAATCACACGTGTACAACCAAAGCAAATTTGATCAAATTAGAAAAGAAACTTACAAACTCACATATTTTCTTCAGATGTTTCAGTAGTCAATTATTAGTAGTTAACTCGTAACATTTTGTATTTTCTTGCAATGTTAATTGTATGCATCATTTCTATGCTTTGTTTGGTTGGAACGTAATCTTCATCCCCTAGTTTCCTAGAATTTCTATGTTTTCATTGAGAAAGTAATGGTGAAATGAGCCGTAATCAGTTCTAGGATTGATTATGTGACATGAACATTTTCTATTATGGGTGTCTCAAAGTATATTACTTCTGGTCATCACCAGGAGTCACAAAGTTGGATTGGAGCCCTTGAAATGCAATCATAGTTTAAAACTTTAGTTTTAATATAAAAGGAGTCACATTGGTATCATTTGTATACGGACAAAACATGTTTGGCAAACTGCTTCTGAAAATTATTTTTAAAAAAATAATAATTTGAAAGCAACTTTTTCAGGAAACACTTCCAAATTAATTTTGAATTTTTGAAACTTTTTTTGCATAAAAAATGAAAACGATAGGTATTTCATAACTTTTGCATTATTTTTGTCTATGAAAACAAGAAAAAACTAGAATTTTGAAAATGATACCAAAGAGGACCATTAACTCTGAATTGTTTCATCTTCCTTTTTCTCCTCACCTTTTATTTTATATTGGTCTGTGATCAGGTTGGGTCTGTTTCCGTGTTTGTCTTGAGGCATAGAAGCCTAGTGGGAGGTGGCAAAGAAGATTTACAGCATATAGCACGTGTGATTGTTTTAAATATGGTATCTCCCTCACTTCTCTTTCACATTTAGTGCTTTGCTTGTTGGGAGTTGTGATTTTATTACGATTCTAATGAATCATACCCTGTTTATTCAAGTCTACCAAGTAGGTGTAATAATCTGTCATAATTTTGAAGTATTTTTGCATAAACTAGATTCATAATTAAGTTTTGTTTAATCTGAGCATACAACATTTAACCCTTGATGTTGGAATAACGGCAATCGCCTATGTGCATGTTTCTTGTTGACATGATTTTAACTCATGGCATACGTCATGCAGGTTATTGGGCTTTTGTTCAAAGGCATTGATAACTGGGGACATGTAAGTATGAGAAAATTATTGTTATAATTTTTCTCTTACCTAATTACCTTTGGAATATCAATCAATTCTATTCAAATGACTAGATCAATTCAGGATAGAAGAGATTTTGGACCAGATCCACATCTTTGATATACAACTGTGATGACCTTGAATTGTAACACCAAAATCTGCGCAACTCATGCTTGTAGAATTGCAAAAATTGTGGTGACCCCAAAATCAAAATATTCCACAATATATATTCTCGTGTGTTTGCCCTAACCCAAGTCTTCCGCAATATATTGTTGTTTATAAGGTGTTTTTACTCACCCCATCCCCGATCGTAAATGTTTACTGTCCACGACAGAAATTATGGCAAGTAATTTAAACTAATTTTTATTGACTAAATTTGAAGTCATCAGCCCACATAACTAATTTTAAGCCATATGACACCACATGATCTACACAAACATCCACCAAGCTGTGAGACTTTCTTTTATAGTTGGTTGAATGTTTTATAGCTTTGTATATATAACAAATGTGAAATTCAAAGTTGCAGGGTCTTCTTTTATGGTGTGGGATTCATTAGAAGGCATCATTTTGTTCAACAAGTATATATTGTTCTTCCGCATAACTAACATTTGAGATAACTTTTTTAAGAGTATATGTAAATTATATAAACTGGGGTTAAGATGTAGGCTAGGGGAGGCTCATATCGTCCTTATACTGAAATCAATAAGGGATTCAACATTTGACAGCCCTATAGGAGCAAAAATTGGCGTAGGGGAAAAAAAAAAGTCCTATAATGGCAAACGGGTAAATTGTCATCCCTATTGTTCTTGGAAACATGAATGCACACCATTCTATCACTTCTTAAAAATCAATTTCCTTTTCCTTTCTTTATCAGCTCCATCTTTGTTTAAAAGATTATATGTACATGTGCCATTTGGAAAAGGTCAAGGTTCATTGAAATTCTAGAGATTTTGTGGTACGTTTCATGGCATTTGTCTTCTTATAGACTTGTAAGGTCGCAAAAATCCCAAGTTTTTTTTTTATTTCTTTCTTTTGATTTTCCTTTTTTTTCTTTACTTGCTTTTATTTATATGTTTATGTGTGGTCAAATCTAATTTTCCTTACATTTTGCTATTGAAAATTTCAGTTAGGAGGCTTATTAGGAGGAGCTGCAACATCGTGGCTTATTGGTCCAGCATTGAGGTATGAATCTTTGCCGGAGAATGGGCGAAAGGTTATTGCTGACAGAGCACCGATTTTCTCCCTCATAAACATGAAAAGAACGAGAACGCCTTGATAATGCAATGGAGGTGCTGGTTTATGATAGACTTATGTATCCCACTTCTTAAATCAAAACTCTACCTGTAAGATGAACTGTACCCACAAAATGAAGAAATACTTTTTTGCCTACTCTTTTTTTTCTTTTATTTTTTCTTCTAAATGTAAATATGTTATTAAAGCATCTAATTACGATATAAAAAGTACTTAAGATTACTATGACTTCAAGAAGTTGTTTCAACCTCCATTCTTTGCATTGTGTTATTCTTGGTTGAGAGGTCAAAAGAAAATTTCTGTCAATGTGTATGAAAACAAACAAGAAATTAAATATACTAGGGGTGAATGCATACATGACATTTTATTGTTTCCAGTTTTTTTTTTTTTTTTTTTTTAGTTTAAGTGGTTATTTTTTGGCATTTGGTTGTTGTAGATAGATATTTATGTATGTATATTGTTTTTTTTAATTGTGTACTATTAATTAATTGCTTCTAAAACTCAACTCAAAGGACATTGATAAAAAACCAACAAACAGAAAGAGAAATAAATAAATAAATATTAACATTGCATCATTAAAGTCAACCAAACATCCATTTTGCTACAACAGAAGAAGGCATTGAATTACGCAATCAAAAATATTAGAAATCTTAAAAATTTTACTAAATGTTTTACATAAGTATAAGATCCACATTATATGGGTGAGTCCTCCACCTAATTGAGATATTTAGTAAAATTTTTAGAGTCTCTACCATTACTCTTATGTTGTATTTACTTGAAAAATTTAAGGAGGAATTTAAAAAGAAAAAAGAAAAAGGTGTGTGAAACTAAATAAAATATAGGTATATTTTATTCACATTTTACCTATATTTTCTATTTCCCTTTTCAAATCTCTGCTCAAATCTTTCAACCAAATATAATATTAAAGAATCCATATTGTCATTAATGCTGTGTTTGGTTGGGGGATTTGGGACGGGATTTGGAAAGAGAAAGGGAAAAGGTGTGTGAAACTATGTGAAATATAGGCATGATTTATTCACATTTCACCTACCTTTTCCATTTCCCTTTCTAAATCTCTTCCTAAATCCCCCAACCAAACACAGCATAAATGGATGGCCTACCTATTTACACAATTTCTAATTTCACAAATACACTAATGGATATATAAGATCCTTGTTTGTATCCATCAATTTTCTAGCAAGGTATTGTATTGGTGAAGTAGGTGGGGGTTAAAAAGTTTTGTGAACAGACTAGTCTGTTAAAAAAAGTACAAATGAAAAGTGGTAATCTAAAATATATATATGTATAATTTTTTTTCTTGAATACTCTGACCTATATGTGGCGGCGCCCAACTGGAGATGCCAAATTAAATCCCCACCACCCAAAAAAAATAAAAAATAAAATAAAAAATAGACTTGTTAAAAAATGATGGTGGGGAATCAACTGGTTGAGAAAAATATGTTTAGGAAAATAAGTGGCTTTTTAGTAATAGGTTTATAAATTGAAGGCTGAAATTTTGAGGTGCCAAGACTGACATGTTTAAAATATAGCAATGCAAAGACATCACCTAATGTTGATCTAGAGAACACACAACAAAACCAAAAATTCATTGAAGAATTAAACTAGCTCTCCTCAATGATACCGGACTATGCCAGGCTCTAGCATATACTGATTTAATGTAGAACATATACCATATTTCCATTAATTTGTGAACATCAGTTGAATTCATTCATTTGCAGATGCCCAAAAAGAACCGATATATTTTACACTTGTCACCCAAGTGGAGCAGTTCTATGTACACGCTTCTTGACTAGTTACCATCTTTGGAGACATTCCATTTGGAAGAACATTACATGCTTTCATGCCATGTCGCAACGTAGACATCAGAGGCCTGCCACCTTGCTGGCTTTGACCTGCAAGTTGATTCGTGTACATGTTTGCTTATCATAAGATCGCCTATAAACTCTTATTTACCTTTCCACCACCGCTTCTATCATCCTATAGCCAGAGAGAGCAAAACTGTAAGCCGTCGTGCGTCACGTGCTTGGGATATTGGGTGTTCATTGTATCATCATCGGTGAACGATTTATCATTTTGACCAACATAGGAGATGGAATGTGAGGAGCCCGCAGAAACTAAATAACCAACTCTCCGTGTAAGGACGTATTGCAAAAGCTGCAAAAAAGTATGAGGAATATTATGACTTGCATGGCTAACCGTGGCGCTATCAACAAATTCAAACTTAAAAGCAAGTTCAACAATGATCAAGGTCAAGCAACCATAAACACCTATCTTATTTAAATATCACACTAAGAAATTCTAAATACAATGATTATTAGTATATAAAGATAGTCCTATCCTATGTAAATAGTCTAAAAATCCTAACTCATTAAAATGAAACTTTAAAAGATTCATCATTGTGTTTTAGCAGATATGAAGTCATTTCCAATTTTTCTACGCAAAACAAGAAAAACAAGTAACCATACAAGCATAACAAAATTAACTTTTAAGATGAAGAAAGAAAGAGAAAACATTTACAAACACGCAGCAGCTTACATGACGGGGATGGCGAGATTGAGGGCGAGGCAAGTGGTGGGGACACCGGCCCTTTTGCATTCCCGTTCTCCTGTCTTGGACTGGAGCCATAGGATACAACAGGCAAAGGAGAAAGATCCGGGGACAACTGTGGTGTGGGACCCACAGAAGGTGGATAAGACCTAGGAGCATAAGGTGAAAAGGCTGAAGGAGCAGTTGTGTCAGAATCAGATGTCGGTGAGGGGCTCGGGGGAATTTTGGAACCACAATGGGGACTACGGCGGGAAGGACGAGTACCTACCATTGAAGGTGCAGGAGAATTTGAGATGGGAGGTAAAGAATGGCGACGACCATCTTCAGGGCTTGGTGGATATGGGTAGTTATCATCAGATGGTGACGAAGCATCACAGTTAAAACATGGTGGCGAGTGATGATGAAAATCAGGCTCAGGAGCTGGAAAGTAAGATGGAGAAAAATCGGGAGATGGGGCGATAGGGGGTTCTGCATAATCATTTTGAGCTGGAGCTGGGGCATAATCATTTTGCGCTCGAGCTGGGGCCGGAGAAGGAGTTGGTGGGGTTGCATCGATCGTATGGTTCAGATAACAAGATAGACTAATTTCCTTAACTTTACCAAAAACAGAGTTATTGAGGCCGAGGTTCTGTGCAGGAGGGGACCCTGTGATTGCTTGAGCCAATTGCTTCAATCTCTGGGGCAGAAGGCTCCCCAGCTCAGATATAATCGCAGCCTGAACTGTAACCGGAGGATCTCTCGTTGAGCCAATTGTGTTCGTTACTTGCACATACACATTCTGCATGCAAAATAACTCCATTAACAACCCAGCATTCTTAGTGTTTAAATTGAGTGTGCCAATATGTGGCAAGTGACTCGTTACATGGTTAAATTAAACTTAAGTCCAACCATTAGGGTCTGTGACCATAAATTTCGGTCTCAAAAGAATAATTGCGAGACAAATCTGCCTAAACAATTATGTAACCAATTACAATCCATAGTACAAAGGAGGTCAAGGCAATAAAACTATCATTTTCAAACAAGCATACACACATGCATGCAAACACTCCGGTAAAACAGATTTGTTTGTTTCGTTTTTGAAAACAGTTTGTCTTATGTTTTTTGTGTTTTTTTTTTTTTTTTGCCTTTAGTAAACTTTTTTTTGTCTTTAGTAAATATTTGTGAAGAAATTTAAAAAATGAAAGTTCACTAAAGACAAAACACATCTCCGTATGTTTTTGTTTTCAGTGATTTTTTTCAAATTTCTTCACAAATATTTTACTTTTAGGTGTATCTAGATTAGATGCATCTTTCAAAAACATATGCCTACAATATGAAATAAGTTTACGAAAGACAAAAAAAAAAAAACACAAAAAGCAGAAAACTTAAACACAGTTTTTGAGTTTGAAGACCAAGCAAGGTTAGTTTCTCAAATTTTATTCATGCTTTTTTCAGGTGTACTGCAATATAAAACTTATTCTTGAGATTAAGTTCTATTTCCTTCATGAATTGAGAATGCATGGGAAGTTAAAAAAAGGATTGGTGAACAGGTTAGGAATTGAGACCATTATTGTTCCCAATCCTAAACCTGACAGCAAACAAACCCAAAACCTGTTCAGGATTGCAAAAACTAACCCATTCACACACCAATTCAACTGTGCAAGGAAGTTACTCAAACAGAATACCTCGTAAGACCTCAGATGCAAACCCGACTTCAGTTGTTCCTTCAGCTCGCCAAGATTTTCCTTTATTTCATCTATAGAATTAGGTAGAGTAAAATTAAAGAGGATCTGAGATATCTGCCAAATGGAAGCAGACTGATCAGGAATCACAGTGATTCCCCCCGGAAACTTCAAAATTTCAAACGAAGTTGGTTGCCCAAAAAGCGAAGTCGTCAAAGTCAAATTGGATAGCTGAAGGAACAACTCTATTAAAGATGATCTCAGCACACTTAAGGACACTGGATTTATTGGAACGTCAATTGGATCAGAAAGAACCCCGAACACCACATTAGTCCAGTTAGATGCATGAGCTTGGTGTATGGATAGGACAGCAACCTGTTAAAAATAACTTGTTTTTAGGTTAGATTGTATTCAATTCAAAAGTTAAAAGAAATGAAAGATTAAAAATATATGAAAGCAGAAGTTTAAAACAAACCTTTGTATAAGGGACACCTATTTCGCTATTGATATCATACCCTAATCTTCCAATGCATGGAACTAGCTCTGAAACTGGCTTTTGCAATCTGAAGTATGCGTGAACTGTAGCTGAAGGAAAAGAAAAAGGAAAGTCTAAACATCAAAAAGGACTCAAGAAGCTGCTTCTGTAAGCACATGAGTAAGCAAAACTCATTCCTCATACAGTACTAGAAAAGCTATAAAATGAAAATACAGACTCCACTCACATCAATACGGATGATACTTGATATGTAACAGCTCCACGCTTTAATTTCATGTCCTTCCCTAGTTTTGGGAGAGTTTCATTTTGACCCTAGCGGTTTCAATTGCAACATATTGAACCTTATAGTTAGCTTCTAACTGGTTTCAATTTGGTCCAACCATCAACTCCCATTAAGGAACTGAATTAACAAAACACATGGTGACTTCAACATTAGTTCCAAAGAAAGCCACATGTAGGGCTACAACTCGGGAAGGTTGAACCCAACAACCCAAACATGTGGGCTTGGGATGAATTTATTCAGCTCAATTAATTTTGAACTGGGCCTGGACAAAGCCATTCGGCAACCTGTCCCACCTTGACCCAAAATCCATACATATTGCACCATATACATAATATGTACCATATATCTGTGGGACGAAGAGAAGTCTAGTTTTTTTCTATTTTTCCCCCAACGTTAGATTCTCATTTGCTATCAACAGTTAGGGTTTTAATTTCCAACAGGTCATTACCTCTCTGATCTACCTTGAGAAACCACCAATTGCCATCTACACCATCTCTTTCTTCTACAAATCCCCATGCCAGTACTCTCTCTCTCTCTCTCTCTATCTCTCTCTCTCTCTCTCTCTCTCACACACACACACACACATTAAGCAGCCTAAACAACATGCATTTCCTTTTCATCCATGCAGTATGCACACAAGCCATTTTCTTCTACCTTTGTATTTTACTAATTGAGAAAGTAGTGTAAAATGAAACACGGCAATAGCTTAAAATTGTGCAACTTATAAGTTAAAATGAATATAAATATGCAACTGCTTGCTTACTAAGAGTTATTGAATTGAGCAACCGAAATAGAATTCACTTGCTACGTTGCAATATATCAAAATCAACTAGTACCTACTACACAGACAGTTTAGTGCAAATCTTTAACTTTCTACACTTAAAATGGGTCTTTTTGCAAGCCAAATATAGATGAACGTTTACCTTACTTAATGTCCGAAAAACTAAGCAAAGTAGAAAATCAAGAAAATTCTGACTCTGAACTCACTTAAAAGCTAAAGTCACATGTAGTTCATCCTTTAGAAGATCAATAACAGCCACGGTATTAAAGTACTCGGCTTACAAATAATCAACCAGAAGATCAACCCTCAAAAACCTAGACAATGTGAAGCACAAAAATAGAAGAACAAATAAAGAGTTGAAGCACCATATGTTCATGTGCCATCAGAAAATCTAATTCTTTAGAACAGTTGAAATACCACATACCCAACTGCTCAACCCATTAAAAACCCTATCTCTAATCCTTGACTCACACCTATATCAAATTTATATTTGGGTAAAAATCACTAAAAACCCTCTCCACTCAAACTTATATCAAATTGAGTTTTACCCATTCTTTTACCCAAATCAAGGGAGGCACAAATGTCTAGTCAAACTTACAAGATTATTTTGTAGCTTCAAAATTTAAGCTTTTACTCGAATTTATGCTTAAATCTGAGTTTGTCCATTGGATTACTTGATATCAAATGAAGTTTTTTACTGAGTACAAATTTATGTAGGGATTCGAGATGGTAATAGCTAAAAAATAAGGCTAAATAGCAAACACCCATTGCCCAAAAACATCAGAAAATTTCAAAAGAATCATCAGCCAATAAAAACTGAAATAAAATCAATTAAACAAATCATCAGAAACCCTAATTACAAATAAAGATTGTGAGCAATTCCCCTTTACTGAAATCATTAGAACACAGCCCTAATAATTACAGACCTACACTACACTACAGTTAGAGGAGACAGAAAACAAAATAGAAAAAATGGCTTACCACTGTGCTTGATTGCGTATTTTGCATCAAACCCAGAAAGCGATGAGTGAAGAGGAAGAAGCCAAAATATGACAGGGAGGAACACAGAGAGGCTGAAAATCAGAACGAAGACGCATTTGAGATTGAATTCTTGGCCGATTGTAGAAAGACCCACCGAACATCTCTGGCAGAGGATCGTCGAAGCAATAAATCTCCGAGATCGAGTCCCCTCAACCTGCTGTTGCCGCAGATGTAGTTGTTGTTCTTCCACCTTACCCATTTCCAGAGCATCTGTAAAAACTCTCTCTCTCTCTCTCTCACCTCTCTCTCTATATCTCTTCTACACGAACAGAGACAAAAAAAACTCTCTCTCTCACTCTTGATAACTATAGAGACAACTGGGACTTCAAATGCAGAAGGTGTAGACAAGTGTTCATGGAGGGGCACTCTCTCTCTCTCTCTCTCTCTGTCTTCTCTCTCTCACTACTTGTCGTGTTTTGGAGTGAGTTTCTGTATGTATTTGTATTTTGTTTGTTTATTGCTAATCTCAGTAATTAATAATTTTTTAATTATTCATTGGTGTATTAATTAATTAATTAAGGATAATTGGGCTACCGAACGTTGAGAAGAAGCAAAGGTGAAGAGAGAGAAAATGTGTGTAGAAGAAGAAGAATATGAGATGAGAAAGATAGTGGGAGCGGGATGGAGGTGACCCAACTTGGTTAATGGATTCATCTTTAAAAAAAAAAATTATTATAATATAGCAATAATTTTGCTTAAGACACCTAATTATCACTCTCAAAGACAATCGTGTTAAATTTTAGGGTGGGTTTGGAATTATTTAAATAAATGTATTTTTTGATTTTTTATGAAATATGAACAATATGTTTGGTTTGATTTTTAGAATTTTTTTTAAAAAAAAATTAAAAATTAATTTGGTTAAGAAATAAAAAATAAAAAATAATTGTTATTTTTATTGTTATATAATTTTATTTTTTGTGTAGTTAGAAATAATTTTTACAAATTAAATATATTTTTTCATATTTTATTTTATTAAATTATTTTTGTTTTTATTTTGAATTTTGAAATTTTTTTCTAAGCAAGAAATTAAATATGGTTCCAAAAATTTAATTTTTTTTCTCTCGATCTAACGTAATTCTTTTGTAAATTTTATTGATTTATCAAAGGGATTTCAGTAGGAGTAATATCGTCTATTAATTTATATTTTAGTAATGTTGACTAATTATTCTTAACGTTTAATTAATGGTAGGAGTTAAATTATTATATGGATATAAATCTCAAGAAACAAGATATAATTTTTGAAACTTTAAAAAGAATTTATAATTTATTTGTAATTATTTAAATAAATGTATTTTTTGATTTTTTATGAAATATAAATTGAGTTTAAATTAGGTTTAAAATGATATGTTAGAAAAGTAATGTAATTTAAATAAGATGATATAATTTAAATAAGATAATAACTTTTTGATTTTTTGATTTTTTTTAAACATGTCAAACCAAGTCTTAATTTGTCAAACATTGGGTTTAACCTCAATATCAGATTATTAAGCCTTCGTTTGGTTAATTTAGTTAGATTAAAAAAGTCCAAAAAAATAAAATAGATTAAATAATTCAATAAGATAAAATATCATATTTAAACCATAATCGTTTTATTTTTTCACTCAAAAAAATAAAAAAAGTCAAACCAAATAAATTTTTTAGTGCCAAGATGAAAAAGTTAAAAAAAACCAACTAAAATAAACAATGCGAAACGATGAGTAAAGATTATTTAGAGATGATAAATTAATAGATGTAGTATTGTTGCTATAATATAAGAGAGAGCACATTATTGGGCCTGTGGGGCTCGTCACGGTTCCTATTTCAATAATTTAAATTGTTTAATGTATAAAGTTAATTGAATAATTCATCCTTATAAAAAGCATATTGATCGGATATTGGTAACCTTTTTATTGGAATAAATTTTTATTAACAATTTATTTTTAAAATCAAATTTACCATTGACAAAAATGTGTTTCGATTAAGGAACTATCGATATCCGATTAAAATAATTTTTTTACATAGATAAAATACTCGACAAACTCTACACATTAAATGATTCATATTATTAAAACGGGACCGGTGATAAACCACACCGACCCAATAATATACTCTAATCCATTAAAGTGGGAAAGTACGTGCCGCCTACAAAAAATACTACTCACTCTTATACTCTATTACATTTTTTTTTTTTTTTTGAAGAAATTACCTAGTATTATTAATACAAAAAATACTACTCGCTCTTATACTCTATTACATTTTTTTTTTGAAGAAATTACCTAGTATTATTAATACTGGGGGGTTTAAGAGGGAATTATTTGCTATGTGGATTATAATTCAGAAGAAGCATCTAATTTTTTGTTTTTTTTTTTTTTTATTCTGCCGAATATGGAGCACGACCAAACTCCTTATCCTTCATATAGGGAATTATACTATCCTAAGGGGAGTGTAGGATAATTTGGAGGGATTATTTATTGTTGGAATTAGATGGTGAAATGACCATTTTGATCCTCTACTATTTAATTATGTATTATTTTAGTAAAATTCAATAAAATTTAAATGTCTCAATTTAAAAATAAAATAATTTTATTTAACTTTTTATTGATGTTTTATTTATTTTTTTAAAAATAATTTTTTATAGAGATTTATTGATGTTTTATTTTAAAATTTTGTTTATATTTTATTTAATTTCATTATTTAAATGTTAATAGATGTTTTATTTAATTTCATTGTTTAATTATTATTATTTTTAAAAACAAATTTATTTAAAATTTTAATTAAAAATAATATATATTTTATTGATATTTATTTATTTAATTTAAAAAAAATAATTTATTTAATTGTGTAAAAATAAAATAAATAATTTTAATTAATCTAGCTAAAAATAATTAAAATATTAAAGATATGTTTAATATTTCTATTACTTAGTAAACAATTGAAAAATGATAAAATAGTCTTTTGCTCATTTATCCTATCCAGTCTGTCCAACTAAACATTGATTCACTAAAAATAGTTTTTTCTAGACATCTAATCCTATGAAAAAACAAACACAAGATACATATCCAATCCACCAAATAGTTCGAGAAATTCACAATCTCAGGACTCAAGTCCGATGGATTCTAATCCCTTCTTATCCAGTCCGTCCAATCAATGTCTGGAAATTACTATTTTAATGAATTCAATGTTTGATTGGACAAACTAGATAGGATAAATGAGCAAAATACTATTTTACTATTTTTCAATTATTTACTAAGTAATAGCAATATTAAATATATCTTTAAATTTTTTAATTATTTTTAGCTAGATTAAATAAAAATTTATTTTAATTTTATTTTTTACACAATTAAATAAATTTATTTTTTAAAAATTAAATAAATAAAATATCAATAAAAATATATTTTATTTTTTAATTAAATTTTAAACAAATTTGTTTTTAAAAATAATAATAATTAAACAATGAAATTAAATAAAAATCTATTAAAATTTAAATAATGAAATTAAATAAAATATAAACAAAATTTTAAAATAAAATATCTATAAAAAGTTATTTAAAAAATAAATAAATAAAACATCAATAAAAAGTTAAATAAAATTATTTTATTTTTAAATTGAGACATTTAAATTTTATTAAATTTTACTAAATATAATACATAATTAAATAGCATATGGCCAAAATGATCATTTCATCACCTAATCTCAACAGTAAATAGTCCCTCAAAAATTGTCCCCCCCTCCAGGATAGTATAATCCCCCATATGGGGAATAAGTAGTCCAGCCGGACTAAAAAATAAATAAACATCGGATTAGATGCTTCCCCCAAATTACAATCCACACAGTAAATAGTTCCCCCATCCCCCAATCAAACACATCCTAAAATTATTACAAATTTATGAAATATTTATTATTATTTTTTTTTTTTTTTTGTTACAGGAAAATCCTCCCTACCCTCCCGCAGGTCCAAGGCAGCGTCCCTTGTAGAGATCACCAAGGTGTCATGTTAGCCGTTCCAATCAATGAGACTATAACCTGAGAACCAAGTGCTGATTAGACAACTTGAGGTCCAACCTCTCGCACAGGAGATTGGCCCAAGGGAAAAGGAATTGAACTCATGACCTTGGGGCTTAAACTCCGAGTCTTAACCATAATGCCACCCACCCTTGGGTTAAATATTTATAATTTTAATAATTAATGTATATAAAGTTTATAACTTATATATAAAAGAAATAAATAAAATCTACAATGAATATAAATTTTTCCTTTTTTTATTTTTATACGTATTTACCTATTTGTAAATTATAAAAATGATCTCCAAAATATAAAACTTATTTCATTTTGATTCTTAATTTTTAATTTATATCAATTGCATTTCTAAAATTTTACTTATCAATTCATTGTAATCCCTCCTCTAAACTAGTTTTTTTTTTTTTCAAAAAGAAAAATTACGAAAAAAATTTACATCAAATTCACTTTCAAATCTTTCACTCCATTATTAAGAATCAAATATATACCGTGTTTGTTTCTTTATAAATAGACATATTAAAATATTTTTAATGTTTTTCCATATCTAATAAGAAGTTGATGTAAATAATCTTTATATGTTTTTTAAGCGACAATGAGAGAAAAATTATATTAATGTATTGAATTCAAAAATAAAATGTATATAAATTTAAATTTAAAATAAAATAAGCATTATACTTAAGGATTATTTGTATAATTTATAATTTTATCTAAAGAGGATTGATTGGGATTTCAATTTTTTGAGATTTACTCAATGAGTAGACAAGTGTGTGTAGGTTTGGGTCCGTTTGGGAAGAAGATTTGTGGCTAAAATAGTCACAAAAGAAAAAATAGACTATTTTAGCCACAACAAACAAAATATCACATCCAACCCATAATCATTACACTCTTCTCTTACAAAAAAAAGTCAAAAAAGTCAAAAAGTCAAAAAGTCAAAAAGATCTTCCCAAACCAAGCTTTTTAGCCCAGGTTAAAATAGCCAAAAAAGCCAAAAAGCCAACCCACTTCCCAAACCAACCCTAAGAAGTTGACCATTACCGTGCATCCTGCCAGGTGGACCGGCCTATAGTTATTATGTAAATTAAAGTTGTAATGTGATTAGGGAATTTTTAAGGGAAAACTACCAATAAATCCCATAAGTTGATCTTATGATCCACTTGGTCTCACATTTTATTCTAATATTCCGTTTGGTCCTGTCTTCCGTCAAATGACATATTTGCCATTAACGCAGTGTTTAATGTTTCCGTTGTTGGTGGATGCAAATGGTTGTGTTGTTAGCACGTAGGGCAACGCGAGGTGTAAAGTGTAGGAAGTTGATTGAGTTGTGCCACGTGACACATAATGGCGTGTCACAAAATAGCAAAGCGTACTAAGGGGTTTTATAATGGTAGTAGAGATTTTGGTGGTTCCACATGTCACACATTCGGGT